AATTTTAATCGGATACAAATCAAAATAAAATGCTTATGAACAATACATTAAATTATTATAATAACCGTTAATATGCCATCATATTTTGAGAGAAAATCTTTCGTTAATTCAACTTTTAGTCTGTATTATTCATTAATCACAACTATAAATAAATAAGTATATACACATATATCCATTAGTCAACCACACCATCTCTTATCTAGATAAAATTAATTATGATAACAGTAGACAATCGGTATTTGTTAATGTTGTACAAGTACTTTCAGTCCATTCACATCGACAACTTGTCATACTAAATGCATAATTTGACGGACAAGCAAAATCGTATCTAAACAATGATCCATCTTGTGCCATTGCACAATAATAGAATTTAGTACAATCATAATAATCACGATATAAACCTGGACGTTTTCTGTTACAATCGAATGAGGTCGATATTGGTAGAATTTGTGGCACAGCTGACACTTGCAACAATTTTCCTAAACCACTTAATCCACTTATTATTGGTACTGATGTTGTTGTAGTTGTGACGAGAGCTGATGGACCTGAATGATCAGCACAAAATGTTTCGGTAGATGTCACACAAGGCCTATTATTTGGCCAATCACAGGTACATGTATCCATACTAAATTCTAATCCTTGTGGACAGAAGAAAATGTGATATCTCAATGTTGAACGATCTGTACCCTCACAAAAATAAAACATTGAACAATTAGTTCGATCACGATAAATACCACCCCGATGACGTCCACAAATATAGTCCGCATTATACGTTTGATGAGCGAGCGGTGCTGGATGATGATTTGGTTGTGCGGTTGCTGTTAAAGTTTTCAAGGCATTCAATAACAACTGTAAATTAGGTAAACTGTTTGGCGGAAGATTTCGATTGACTAATGGTGCTCGGCTTGCTAACGGAATCACGTTAAGAAAACGAACAGTCTGAGTGACAGATGATGGTGGCTGAGGAGGATAAGTTATTTGTGTTGTAAGAACAGTAGTTGCTATGGGTAAATTTAGTGTAGAAAAGACCTGACGAGTTATAGGAAATGGTTCGGTATTACAGAAAAATCCAGAAAATTCGTCATTATCAATACTCCACACAAACACACCTCCTAATTGTTCGACTTTTGCATATTCTGCCTTAAGAGAGAATGAAGTAGTGTAAGTGTATAGTGGAATAGAAATCATGAACAATAAAACATACTTTAAGAGCAGCCGAATCCACATCCTCATACGAAATCCATTGATCAGAATTTGTCATATACCAAGATTTTTCTGATTCAAGCCATACACGTTGCCAGTTTTGAGCTTGTCCTTTTTCACATATCTACAGCAAAAAACATAATGATTTAAGAATGTGAATAGAATAAAAGAATCTTTTTTTCAAAATAAACCTCATAATACGCCAGAAAGCCTCGTGTTTTTGTATAACGTCCTGGATAGCCGGGACCGTCCACTAAAGAACAAGAGAAAAAAGACAGCTAGTTTATTCATGAATCTTTCTGAAGAGAGATTCATACCTGGTGCATGCAATCCATTTTCACCATTTCTCAATGTAAATGATCTTCCATAAGCTGGTATGCCAATAATGATTTTTGATCTCGGTACACCAAGGCTAATCCACAATTTTACCAGACCATCCTAAAAAAATAATTATTATACATTTTCTGTTTTTCACAAATATCATTTTTCTTCTTCAACTCACCACATTTCGAAGTGCTTCAATTTCCATTTGATAAGGCTGATGATATAGTGGTGCAAATACTCCCGTCTTATCATCCCATGGTCCTCAAGATAAAATTCATAGAATACATTTTCTCTAATTAACTGTACTTACCATAAAAATCAAATGTCATAAGATTCACATAGTTAACAAGTCTGAAACAATACTCTAGTAAATATCTTGTAATTAGAAAATGTGCTATGAATCAATTTACTTTTCAATCTTTTTTACATCGTATGCTTTGTGTAAATGGTCGACAAACGGAGCAGCCGTAAGTGAAACAAATGAATGAGAAGACATCAATCGTTTTTGTTTTGCAATTTCCTAGAAGGATAAGTTGATTATATTTATATTCATTCTCTACGTCATAAAAACCGAATGATTACGGTTTATAGTTGGTATATTCTTTCTGTTGAACTTTTTAAATTATCTTTTTACTACCTCAAGTAAAGTTACTAAAGCAGCTTTGTCTTCTGGTACATCATCATCGGGAAATTCCATGGCTATATCAACACCATCAAAACCGTAGGTAGCCATAAACCTGTTTACAACAAAGAAAAGACGATCATGTTCACATTCATTCTTGATTATGTATGTAAAAACCGAAGACTACTACCAATTTGCAAATTGAAGAGAACAATGAATATAATTGACATAGTTTTTGATAGAGTTATAATTTCTTAAGTGTAAGCTGAATCGAATAATCTTATATTCTCTGTGATTCTGTACAATGACGTATAATCTTTTTAAACAATATCGTCTATGCGTTCGTTATTCGTTCACTTTTCCACTAAAGAAAGTGCTACGCCAGAAAGAAAAAAATTGTTTTCTTTTGTTTTGTATAAATCTAAAACAAACATACCATATAATACTTCTCACCAATTGTGTTGCCGTATTCGATCTTTTTAAGTAACGTGTATATTGTCCACTTTTACCACCCAATCGTATCGATGTTTTTAAATTTGGATTTTGTTTCTTCAATAATCCAAGTTCTCGATAGTGTTCTGATAATCGAAATAAATAGAAAAAATAAAAATAGAAATAATCAATATCCATTACAAATTACCTACCACGATCATCATTTTGAATTGGAATAATTTCTGGTTTTTCTTGATCAACTGTTGCGTAGGCATACACTATATGAGTACATAGAAATGGATCAATAAACTCAATTTCAAATTTAGCATCGCCTGTTCGATAACGAGACCAATTTGTAATATAGCAAACTCGTAACATCTTATTGTCATTGTGTGAAACTAAAATAATATACTAAAAATATCAACTAATAGAAAAATTAAAAGATGTAATATATTCGCCCACTACCGTGTTGCGTTCGAGTAGTATCTGATAGTTGTATAATATCCTCTTCACTATCTTCATTTTTTGTTGTTGTCTCACTTTCATCGCTACCACCAGCTTGGCTTTCCTCTATCATTTCAGCAGCAGTTTCTCGAAGACTTTTCCTTTCAAACATGATTTGCTTTGACAAAATGGTTCGATTTTTCTTTCCTAATCTCTGTAGTTTCGTTTTTATTAATGATGTTTTGTTGTTACTACGTTCCATCATTTTTCTTAAACTACTACTATTATTTGCTTTTGGTTTAATAATATTAGAAGGTTTCATTCGATTTTTTTTCAAAGTATTTCTGGATGTTGACAGGGTCGATAGAGGAAAAGGTATTTGACTGTGTTTAGATGGAACAACAATGACTTTTGACGGACATGTACGATCAACGTATGTATTTTGAACGCATTGTTGTTGTTTTTCATCAAATATCATCGTATTTGAACATCTTTTAATGACATAAAAATAACTGAAACCATTTGAAAAAACTGAACAAGGAAAATATGTTTGACAATCTCGTAAATCTCGACAATAAGGCTGTTTTAAATCTAAATTCAAAATTGAATTTTAATTTTTTAAATAAAAGAACTAGATGAAAGCAAAAACAAATATATGTGTAACATAGTAGACTAACAAATAATCACAACAAAATCTAATAGGACAAATTTAAAATTCAATGACGTATAATCATGCATTTCTTACAGTAACCCATATGTGATTGCACATCTTTTTTACGTCATCTAAAAGATGTTCAGACGAATATTAATAAATGATGATATTGTATCATTCTTTACTCCTACACTTATAAAAACATTGATGGTTAAATAACAAAAATTTAGTCTATATTCTAATAGTATAACTAACTACTAATCTACATATCTAAATTAGAATCAGACATACTTATCTGATTTGCATCAATTGTTAAAAACCATATTAATAGAAAAACAACGAGACAATTTTGCATATTTTAATTTTTTTTTTTTTTCGTTGATTCTAAAGTTTATAAGACAAAAATGTCGAGAATGATTGTAAATATGTTATTTTTTTTATTCTCGTTTGTTTGGTTGTAAATAAAACTCTAGTTGAATGTGTATACTATATTGAACACTCTGATCAAACATTACCAAATATTCTCTTATAAACCAACATAAATATTTTGATCCTTACGCACATACAACAACAGTTAATCTAGAAAAAAAAAAAAGTATTGAACATATATATATACTAAAAGGATATTCTATGTCAACTTTATTGATAGTTAAAGTCCTCTCAATCTCTTAATAATAACAACTTCAAAACTACTACTTGTTTTTTTCCTATTTCCGTCTTACAGCATATACCTAACAAATCGAATAATCATGTTGAAAACGATGATGATAATAGCTAGTGTTGAAAAGACTTTTGTTGTTTTTAATCTCCCTATTGACCGATTAAAAGAAACAATTAATGAAATTTTAAAACCAATAAGCCGTATGAACAAAGAAAAAGGGTATTCTTCTTAACATATTTTATCATCTATGGTCATTCAGTAAATCAACATTGAATGCTAAAAAAAGATGAATATATAAAGAATAGATAATTTATATGGGGAACTTTGATCCTTTTGATTGAACGAAAAAAAAAAAAGAAGAAAAAAAAATAGATGATGATATAATTCACTAACAAAGAATTTTATAATAAACTTTAAACTAATACAGATAATAATGATAATAAATAATTTTTATATAACCATAGTGGATAATTCACACCTTTAGAACTGTTCACATTGATAAAAAATTAAAGCGATTTACGCTTGACGATATGAGTAAAATATTTCAACATACAATTAATAGTAAGTAATGAATGAAACGACTATCTGGATAATTTAAATAAGATTTTATTTCTCTGTTATCTATTATATATATATATATATATACATATATGTTATTTTTTCAACAGCCTATTTCCAATAAACATCATAGATATGACAATTATGACTGACCTTCAGAAAAACATATTTTGATATTTTTATTCTTTTTTATTGTTAATATATTTTTAGAATTTATACTACAACTATGTCATTATTCTATCCTATTTCAAATCGTTGTTAATGGTCAAAGAACAGTAAACGATACTACACGTTTGTACACCATTTCAAATTGATTGATACAAATAGATATAAAAATATTCTTATTGAAATTTAGATCAAGACTCTAAACAACGATTTTGTCAGTATCGCTTGGATCCATCACAGTATTATCCTTGTGTTTTGAATTATATTGGTATACATAGTTGGATGTTATATAGATGTCCATCTCAATCAACATTTGACGAACAAATGCAACAATGTGTGAATAAACGGACAGTGTCAGACATATTTCCATTTGATAATGATCCACAATTTCGACGTGTAGCTAATTTTGTCATAGCTACATCTAGTCCAAATACATATGATAAAAAGATATCTTCACATCAATTTTCATTATCATCATCTGCCACTAAACGGATGGAATCAATTTCAGTTAAAAAAGTAAAGATTTGTCTTTACTGTCCAAATTTTTCTCACAGTATATATTGATATTTAGAGTGATTACAGTTATGAAAATAGAAAAGAAAAATTAAAAATAGATTCTATGAAGAGAATGAGTGGAATTAATGATAATGAAGTTGAACAAGGTGTTCTTTGGTCAAATAACTATCCGATAATAAAATTATCCGATACACCTGTTCTTGAACAAAAAACATATATTAATGCAAGAGCAAATGGAAGAAATACGTATAAATCATTACCGATCAACGAAAGTAAGTAAGAATTACCTCAAATGTATTTAACAATAAAATTATTAATTAATGCTGATATTCAGATGAATTAAAATACAAAAAAGTGTGCTATTTTACAAAGTAAGATATTCCTATTATTTATCTCTAACTATTTTCAATAGATAATTGTATTCCTTCTAGCTGGAGTCAATATCGACCGGGTGTAGCAAAATTCTCACCAGAAAATATTGATCCGTTCTTGTGTACTCATATTGTGTATGCATTCGCCTATATTAACAACAAAACATTGTTGGTTACAAAAGTCGAAGAGAATGATGAAGGCATGGTCTTTATCTGATAGAATACTGATATACTGTAGTATTAGCCCTTTTTTTCATTTGACAGATCTCTATCGTCGTGTAAATCAACTTAAAAATCAAAATCCAAATTTAAAAACATTGTTAGGCGTGGGAGGATGGAATATGAAATCGGAAGCATTCTCAGCTGTTGTAAGAAATGTAGAGAAAAGACGAGCATTCATATTTGATACAATCAAGTAAAAATTTATTTGTCTTAAAAATTTTAGTACCAAATATTTTTATTTTTAGTTATCTTCGAAAGCATAATTTTGATGGTTTTGAAGCTGATTGGGAATTTCCTGGTAGTCGAGGTGGAAATTCAAACGATAAATATTATTTTACTACATTTCTACATGTAAGTAAATGTTTAAAGAGGAGTGTCATTTTTATTTTGCATGATTATAATGACTTTCAGGAATTTAAACAAGCGGCAATAGCACAATCACTTGTCACTGGAAAACCACGTCTTTTACTCGCAGCGGCCGTCGCTGCTGGACGAGAAATCGTTACAACTGCCTATGAAGTTGAAAAAATCTCCAAGTAATATAAATTGAGTTTTACTTAAGTATACCTAATGAAATTTTTAAATCTATAATACAGGATACTTGATTTCATCAACATAATGACTTATGATTTTCATGGTGCTTGGCAGAACCGTACAGGATTAAATGCTCCATTGTATCAACAGGCTAATGATTTCGGAGAAGAAGCCCTGTTGAATCAAGTAAAATGCTACAGCGATTTTTTGACATTTTAACTATTTAAATTTGAGTACTACACATGAACGCAATCTTATTTTAGGATTTTGGTGTTGCATTATGGTTAAAGCAAGGTGCACCAGCTCATAAACTCGTTCTCGGTATGAAAACAAAGCTCTCATAAACTTTAATAATTTACATTTTCGCATCCTTTGTAAGAGTTAAATACATAAGTTTTTTTGTTCATTGCAAGGCATTCCGTTGTTTGCACGAACATTTTTATTAGCTCGTTCTAATATAAACGATCTTCGTTCACCAGTTATCGACAATGGTGCAGAAGGGCCATTTACAAGAAGTGCTGGATTTTTATCGTATTTTGAAGTAAGTGAAGTATTTTTGACTGTGATACAGTTCTCCATTCATGTACTTGTACCCACTTAGATATGTCTATTACAAACCGATAACAGTTGGCAGATACATTCGATAGTACCTGGTGCAGAATCTCAATATATGTTCAGAGGCAAAGAATGGGTATCATTCGAATCATTGGAAAGTGTACGGAAACGAGCGGCATATGTTGTAGCAAATTCCCTGGGTGGTATGTTCGTGTGGAGTTTAGATATGGATGATTTTATCGGTAGTTTTTGTCACAAAGGCGCATATCCGTACATCAAAAATTCGTTATCATTATTACCGTCAACAATGTTATCTTATTTATAGAATATTGTTTCTGTTAGATCTCATATTGAGATACTTTGTTTTTGATTATCTTGTCGTAACAGTATGTAAATTTTCTTTAATTTGTATATTGCTGATATTGTTGTGCGAATATGGTATTAATCAATACAAAGGTATTAATGGAAGATATTGTTTATTTTTGAGCTTTATTCAACAGGGATTTTCCATCTACTTCAGTAATTCTTTTCACATCTAATTTGCTTTTCACTCGTTCTTTACGAATGTTCTCGCGAAAAAATTTCCAATTCTTAAAATAAAACAATTATAACAAGTATACCGTTCGTTTTAATAAATCGGGCAATGTACGTTCTTAACTTGAAGATATTAGGACAATGTACTCTGAAAAAGTATTAAAATTCAAAGAGGTTCATAAACTCATCACTTTTTCTGCAAAGACTGAAGAAAAGAAGCGAAAAAGTTAACTGGAGTTCGTTCTACAAATAATTCATTTTTGTAATTTTTAGAATAACGCGTAGAACGGGAGAGCCCGGTGCGTGCCCCCCCCTCCCCGATTCTGAAAAATTTTTGTTTTTCTCCCGTGGAGTTGAACACTTTTCTTACATTCTGTACGATTTCGATGGCTCTCAAAAAAAACTGTGGACAACCCCCGATTCTAACCGTTTCATAGTGCCTGACAACGCGATGATCTTCATCAGTATTCTTAGATTCATAAACTTAAGTCAACGTTTAAGTTGTTCTAGCATGTCGTTTTTCAGCATGAATTTTCCCTAAATAATATTAAAATTCAATTTAAAGTTATCTCGTGTCATCGTATGTTACTTCGAGATGGTTGCAGTAAATTCTTCTCTGAACTAGTGATAGTGGTATGGTATTAGATGGAAAAGATGTATGATATGGAAGCAAGTGATTTTAGGCGCTGTTTCGAGTTTTACCGGAGCAACGTCAGTTAGATAAAAAATTTAAATGAAAATAGCGATTAAATGCTTCATTTGCCTAGTTTTGTTTTCTAATGATCTCTTAGAATTGCAGAAATGTTCATTAAAACAGCGCCCTCCATAAGACATAACAGTAACTATCGCGCCCATTTAGATAAGCTGACCGTCAAAAGCTGCACGTAGAAGGTGTCGGCATCATTTACAGTTTATCTTGATCAAATATGTCATTTTTTATTCTTTAATACGAGCAGCACATCCGTTACATTCTTATGAATGGAATATCCCATTGGTCAGTTGCTTACTCCAACTGCGACCTTTCACATGAGTCAGGAAACTTAAAAAGTTTGGTTATAAAAACAATATGAATTTGCACAGTCGAGACATGCTTGATCGGAATGTTAGTGGATTAAATCTCTAATGAGACTAATGAGAATATGGATTGCTGTGGGTTGGTTCTATCGCCTGACGTCTAGCTTTCATGCCTGACATATCGTGACCGAATTTCCCTAGTGCATCTCGCTGTGGTACTGTGTGCTATCAAGGGAGCGATAAGTCCGAGGCATAAGTTTAAGCACTTTACCTATTGAAAATTCAGTTTGGAGTGCATTTCATTTTTCAATAAATGGTTTCAACACTTTATGACATTATGTCACTGGTTGCCGTTCAAATAACCCAGATTATACGTACCTGTTCTCTAAGAAACTCTATTTAGATTGAGTTTATTATCTTTTATAGCTTTTACGATATTATCACATTATGTCAGAGATACCCGGTTATTATTGGGATCCGGAGAAGCGGCGCCATTTTAAAATTCTACCATCTTATTCCAATATACAAGGTGCCATTACACAAACGCATATAAAATTAGAACAGAGATTACAAAAACAAAACGAATTCATGAATAATACGAAACAGAATGATAAAGAAGCATTTGTTACTGGCCAAAAGAAACGTCGTCGACAGCGATCTCTATCAAATAATACCAGAAAAAAGTCCAAAGAAGAACTTGCAAAAATAATAAAACCAAAATCAAATGTTCGTCTACTTCGTGAAAGAGAATATGGTCTGTCAACTATAACAAATATTTATCGAACAAAGAAAAATGGTCAAATATCGGATCGTGAGTAATGTAACCACTCTTATACAGGATCTTTTCTCTTACTAGCAAACGTATGAACTACTTTCCTTAGTTGAACCTCTAGTCAAATAAAAAGTTTGCGACATCTTTGTACGGCATACCGAGCGTTTCGTTAGGAGAACGGAAACCTACAACTGCTAGAACCATAGTTAAGGGGAGGATGACTATATTCTACAGTTGATCCGTTTGTGGGGAAAAACTCATGTTAATAAGAAAACTATAGAGAATAGCACATTTCAATTCAGTCTTCTTAAAAAACCACATTATATATATATAACATAGGATTGATCGGAAAGTAAAATAGGATAATGAATGCAGCTTTAACACTTGTGCTAGTTTAATATTACCTTGTTTATATCGTGCGGTTCTCTTGTTTATTTGTAAGGTACATCTACAAAACATTTTTCACAAACATCCTATAATTATCATCGTCACAATCTTCGATCGAACTGTATTGAAACGATTCCGTCCAAATGTATTATAGATCCTTTGTTATCGCCTTCCTATGTTCACAGTTTGAAACCAATTTTCTCTTATATAAATACTCAGGACACTGATAAATATCATGTCCAATTAGCCAACGATGGTTATTGTATTCAAGTAACGAGTAATCACATATCATTACAAGAATTGAATAATTCATTATTCCATGTGTGCTATTACAGTCAATACAAATTACCTATTCAATCGGAACAATCGAGTTTTTATATTGACAAACCAGCTGGAACATCAGTGATCATGTCAACAACTCATACATCGTATAATCTGAATACTGTAACGGCACAATTTATTGAATTACCCGTAATCAACCAAGATGATATTATGCAAAGTAATCAAGGTTACGAACTTTGTCGTATGAACTGTGATAAACAAGATATAGATCCTAAATATTATCGTAAACTATCTCGTACACTTCGTTTGGCTCATTATGATGAGGAAGAGATCGATAATTTTGAATTATCGTATATTCCGGCATCGAATGCACTCGGTCCCTGTTGTTATTCAAATTCGTTCGCACATTTCACATTTAACGTTAATAATCAATTATCTATTTATGACATGAACACATTTAAATCAGTAATATGTAAAGATTTGAATATAAAACGGGTTTGTTTATGTGATACCAAGTTTTCAACTGAAAATTCACAACTGCTCTATTTGACCGATGGACATCGATTGCAAATGTACGATCTAAGAGGGAATGATGTAAGAAAATTTTCAAATGAAAAGTGTTCAATGATTAAATGTTTGAAACGAAATACAAATTATTTGTTAACAAGCTATTGGAATGAAACAGTGTCATTGAATGATATAAGAATGAGAAAATCAATATTTAATTATGAAACAAATGCTATATCATTTAGTGACTTAAATCCTAATTTTACATTTACAATTGATGATGAAACAGAGAATTATGTTAGCGCCTGTTCACAATATCATATTGCGTACATTTGGGATTTGAACGATGGGTCATTGATCAATCAATTTCAATGCCCACTACCAAAACGTAAGATTTATATGCAGACAAAATCTACCATCGCATGTGTGAAAGAAATGCCAGTGATGATCGTTTATCATCCAGAATACACAAAACTCGTTACAAGTCAAGGTGGATTACGTGACTGAAAATGAAGTAAATTCATGAAAAATACAAGTTTATGTACTGACGAGAAAAGAAAATGTTGGACTAATTAATGTAAGATCATTTTTCTTATCAGCAGTATGTGTAGATACTTAAACTAAATGTCTAGACTGCTTTAGATTTATTTCGTCTATTTTCTAATTCTGAGGGAAAGTAAATACTCATTGTACGATTCGGTTTGCTTTAGAACTGCTTTAATTCCATAGTTTAACTAACTCGCAATCATAAAAGTCAGTCCTCTGTCGTCTACTACTTCCTTCTGTTTAAGGCAAAGTGAACATAGTCAAATAACTAAAATTTCAATTGGGTTAAAATTATTGTAAAAAATCTGTATTATATACTTCATCATCTCTAGTCGATCAGAACAAAAATTCTACCGGATTATACACCAACGGTGTTCTGACTTTTGTATGCAGTGGACATTATCTTTCTTTAGTTAACAGTTGTTTTGTCATCATTTAGAAATTAGGTCATAATGTGAATAATAATTGTGAACGACATGCGACAGTGTATTATGAGAAGCGCAATGATGATTCAATGAAGTGAGCAATATTCTTGTTCTTTGTACTAAATCGTAAATGAACAGTATTAGTCTATTTGTCACAGACAAAAGTATATTTCGCATCAAATATTGTTGTTTATAGCATGATCGTTATCCCGTGGAGCAATATTTTGATTGTTGTTAGATTTTTTTTTCTTCTTAAAACTACTGTGTTTATTTCTTTTAATTTTTGCATACAAGATCAGGTACATTCATTCTCAGCACTAGAACTGTCCTTTTTTGAATATTTCAATCATGTTTGTAGAACTGAATAAAATGTTTCAAAATTTTTCTATCAAAATTCTTGTCAATCTATCAAAATTAGCTAATCTATGCGCTTTTCATAGCATAGAATTATACGATAATTCTTAGTGGTCATAGTTGGTGCATTGCTTGTTTTCCTTTAAGGTGATTTCTTCAATAATAATTTTGAAGTAAAGATTCGTCCGTTTGTCCAATGTTATTGATGCATATGAACATTGAAGAAAAAAATTTTCGATACATTTTTAAAACATTATAGATTCTATGATTATTCTCGATTAAATGCATACTACTTGCTGTTTCTGAGACAGACTAATAATTTGTTACGTTCAAGAAAGAAGTAATCAGATATCTATTGTTTTGCTTTTGAGAAAAAATAGAAAAAAACGCAAAAAATTTTTCGGTAGTAAAGCTGATTTTTGTATAGAGAGTATTGCATGGTTAAATTCCGATTTTGATTTAATCCACTCTGCTTTTTCGACGTCGAGGTGTCACCGGGTGGCAACCAACTGCAAGAATAAATACTATTATACAGTTTGTAAGAGATTCAATGAGTTCTATTCTGGCATCGCAATGCTCCTCTTTTTTCCCCTTTAATCCAAGACCCATCCTCTTTCTCCTCTTTTTGAACAATTTTTTCTCTTTTTCTAGGATTGTTATAAAAAATACAAGAACTCAAGCTATTTTTCGATCGGAAAGTAGTTTCAGATATATATTTTTTATCAATGCCATCTTATGAAACAAAATTCAGTCCCTTATGGTTACAGAAAACAGTAGATGAAGTCCCTGTGAGACGATGGTTAAAACAAGGTTGTTTTTAGATTGGTTTAACAGTCAGCGATGCTATTTAAATAGTCAGATGTTTTTCTGTGTTAAAGTAGAACAATTTTTCTTGCTGTGTTTTTCTCCGTTTTTTTTGCGTGTGAAACACGGAAAAAAATACGTTAACTGGTATAAAATCTTTTCTTTGATAGCCTTAAGCCGCTTTGACATGTACACAACGTTGTCAATACCGTTTTTTGGCTCAAAAAGTGACTCCTCTTTTTCACCCTCCACTCTTAAAACTTTGTTTTGACGTTTCTCTTTTTTCTGAAGGGACCGTTGCGATGCCAGGTTCTATTACTTTTTGGAAGAATTGAAGGAACATTGGAACGAGTATAAGTGTTGCTATTAACGCTTGTCTGTCAACTATTGTAGTGTTGATTCGTTCTATGATCGCACTAGATGGAAAATGTTTCAAATTTCGCCCAGAAAGAGCAGAGAAGAATTCGAGAAGCAGTCAGCCAATGCATGGAAGGTATTGATGGCTATTCTGTGAAAGCCTACTTTAAGAAGAGTTTAATTGAATAGAATTTACGTGTGCCATTCAGAGCAAAGTTCATGAAAAAAATCACAAACTTTTCATTGACAATGTTATTAGAAAACTGAACCTGTAGGCATCAGAGAATTGAGAAGCACAATCTTTTACTTTTAATTTCTATCTAGAACTGTATTCAAACTAAAATATCATTTTATCTCACTCAAAAATGTCGATATCGACAAATAAATCCATGTGAACAGAAACGATGTCGTATAATGGAAGTTATAAACTAGCGTTAAGTGAAAAATTTTATTTGAAAATAATGAAGTCTCTTCAATTAAGTTTTATTCATCCAAGTTGGTTAACAGCTTCGACAAGGAGTTCAAGTCAGACAAGTACGCACATAAATTTAACGGTACCTCCCCTACTCTTTTTTGAAAAAATTTCGGATTTTGAGCTGGGCATAGTTTAATGTAGAGGAAAGTATGAGCTACAAAATGAGACCACTCCCAGCCCCCCACGACCTTTCTTCAAAAAGTTATGCAGTTTTAAAATTTTTCCTTCAGAGTCTAAAATACTTAATTTTTTAGTTAAATTTGTCTCCTTTTCTGTACATTCAAAATTTTTCTTATACATAGTTTGATAGAACAATGCGTTTTCTTCAAAATGAGATGTTTTCTAGAATTTGCCAACATTGACGTAAGTTTTCGCGGAGATATAGCATCGCGGCAAATACTCTGAAAAAAGTGGTCTATGTACAAAATGCGTTTTTTCTCGAAAAACAATTTTTTGGGTACCAGGCTTCACCGTGCCACACTACGACTCCCCTTAAATTTCATCTGATCGAGTTCAAAATTTTACCACGGGTACTTAAGATCATTCTGCAGAGGTATAATTTTGCAATTTTATTTTAGACCTTTCTTTACTGACTTATAGGGTTTGTAAAATTAAAAAACTTAGTCTTTGAGACGTTTTTCAGTATTTTCCCTATAATTCGACCAGAAAAGGTCTCAAAAACATCTCCCAAAAACCGAGTTTTCTGAAAAACTGGTGAACGGCAATAGTTAAAAACTTGAAAGAACAACGAAAAGGTGCTCCATTGAGTTTCCAATCAGTTCTGAAAATACGAAGCCCTAGCGACTTTTAGTTTTATTTTACAGGATTTCTACGCCCAAAAAGAGGGAGGAGAGTACCCTTAATAAAACAACTGAAAAATAGATATGATTGCTAACGATAAACCCTCTTCTTTTCTACTATGTGGGTTTAAATATGGATATAAAATCTGGTCACCCATGTTAGTTTCCAGTTATGAAGAATGACAAGTTTATACCGGTTTAACTATAACGTCGATTAGTGTCTAACAGTCACCCCAACTTGGATGAAAAGTGGATCCCCATATACTGTAGCATCGGTCTATTGGTGGTGTGAATTCTTGTCGGAATATTTCTCTCCAAATACCAAAAAATAACATATTTTCGGTTCTTACACGTCCCCAAACAGCTTCTCTAGGTAATTGTAGTTCTAAACATGAGCCAATTGGATAAATTCCAGACTCATAAGATCTACTTTCGCCATTTTTTGTTAGTGAATCAAGATAGAACTTTGCCACATAACCACCTTTATTACAGACACGTACAGAACCGCTTGCTGCGTCCACTGTGACACCTACACAAGAAAAACTCTTCATATTCAAAATATTTCCATTCTATCAAAGAAATACTTACTAATGACGAGTATCACTACACCTATAATTAACCCGAGAGAATTTGTCATCCTTATATTTCCTTTTACAGGTTAGAAATGTACAAGACGAAAGAAAAGCATTTAAATAGCGGTCTGTGGATACTAGCAATGTGTTTATAATACTGAGAATTGAAGCAGATGCTTTATCATGCCATAGTAGTACAATCGTACATTCCTAAATTTTCACATCAAACTTTTATTAAGTTGGATGTTTTCACTGTTAATGTTGAATATACAGTGTGTATAACTCAATTATAAAGATGACAAGAGTATATTCAATAATTGAGTAGTCTCCCTATTCGATATAATTAATTTTCAAATACATACCTATAAATTGAACAACACTAACCATTCAAAAAACCATGAGGCATCTATTTGTATCAGGCATTTTTATTTGAATAAATAATTTAAACAATTATACAATCTTATACAGGTGATGAAGACCATTAAACAGTCAATAAAAGGCTAATCAACCTCTCGTATAACATGATATTTAACTGATAGAAATAATAATCATCGTCTTTCAATTTTATACACCTTATGAATTTTTGTTTGTTTCCTTTATCAAAATCCTATTCCTTAATCAAACTTTTCTTTTTTACATAACAGATAAATACATATTTTTCAAATACAACAAATTTTTCATAAATGAAGACCAGTAGTATGATTTTACTCTTGTCTGGCATATAATAAGTGTAATAATAGATAAAAACTGGAGTGTACAACTTAAATTCCCTGTAAAAGTTAAAAATAAATACGATACAATTAAATGTCACACATAAGGAGAACATAGTTCAACAACAAAAGCCCAACATTAATTTTTAATACAGAAAACAAGAAAACACAGACAACTTTGGGCAAGTTGTAAATATGAGCGACCATTTCTGTTAGAGACTAAAGCAGTCATTTAGTGGAAATACCGAACGAAAAACAAACAAATTCGCCTAAAGACAAAAGTGAACATCATTTGTGCAGTTTGCATATAGAGATGAAAAAGAAATTGAACACAATGCACATAAAAACAATTGTCATTCGATCAATTAATGGTGTTAAAAACCGACAATATAACATAATAATAAAAGTTTATGAGAAAAAAAAGCAGAGATTTCTGTAAAATCGTGAAATTTTAAAATAGGATTGTAACAACTTGTCGGTGTTAACATCGACAACCACTTTGGTTGTCATGTGCTGGTTCTTGTACGGGTTCTCGTAGGCGAACTTCAATTACTGTATTTGTGAGAAAACAAAGTTAAGAAAACATAATTCAGTGAGAAACAATCGGTCTAGATCTTTAGCAAACTTCGAACTAATCCATCATATAAAAAAGTCAGTATTTTTTTCTTCTACTAAATGAAAATATAGTAGAGTTAAATAGCCTTTTATCCTACAATTTCTCACACAATTTCAGACAGTTGGTAACAACAAAAGGAATCTAATTAACTAAAGAACGATATTTAAAGGATACAATCATCTTTCTTTTGTTCAGGCGGTTCCATTCCTGGTAAAGCGGCTGCTACACGTCGAAATAACTAGAAAAAAAAGAAGCATTTTTTGTTTTTCACTTTACTTTACGTCAACAGACTATTTTTATTACCTGTTTAACATTATAGCCTGCTTTTGCACTTGTCTCAATGAACATAACATTAAGATCTTTTGCTTTTCGTTCTCCATCTTCTGTTGAAACTTGCCTAAAAATAGATAATCAACCAAATAAAAAAACTGATTCAACACACGAGTTGTGATTAAACAGATACTACCTTTTATCTGACAGATCAGTTTTATTACCAACTAACATGATAATTACGTCACTGCCACGTTCTGTTCGAACATCATCAATCCATTTTGATGTTTGTTGAAAGGAATTCGAATCTGAATACAAACGTTGTATTAAAAAGATAAATAAGTTATCGTCTATTACATACTTGTTATATCATAAACAACCACTGCTACGGTCGAGTCACGTATATAGCTGGGAATTAATGATCGAAAGCGTTCTTGACCGGCGGTATCCCTTTAACAGACAAAATGTATGCACAAACCAGTTCGGTTTTAATTAGATAATTACCATAATTGTAATCGAACAGTTCGATCCTCTAAGTACATTGTTTTTGATAGGAAATCAATGCCAATCGTTGCCTAAATGTTCAAAAAAAATATATGGTTTTATAAATACATATTGATTACTTCGAACACAGCAAATTGTTTTCTCTTATGTAGTCATAGTTTTTTTCCTCTTTTCAATAGAATAACATACTTGATACGTATTATCAAAACTATCATACATAAACCGTGTGATTAACGATGTTTTGCCAACTAAATATAAAAAAATTTAATTTCTGTTTCATTAATAGTAAGAGATGTGCGTACCACTTTGTTCTCCCAAAAACACGAGTTTAAACTTTCTTAAAGGATTTCCTATTTGTTCCGCTGACATGGTTATTGTCTGGAGGAATGTATCTACAAAAAATACATATAATTAGAGAAGACAGATTTTTCATTCTATTAATTAAACAAAATCAAAAACATACAAAAATTTGTCATGCTTTAACTTTCTCACAAAACATGACTTCGCATGAATTAGATTTTTTTCTGAGAGTCACGCAGACTAACTTCCTTACCACTTTCATCAATGATTAAATTTATGAACTTTCTAGTGAACTATTTGTAACTACAAAAATAGTTTCAATAACAGGCACCTATTATAGTATTTTGCGACACCAGAATAAAAATACATGAATAAAATTACACACAGACGAGGACAGAAACGTTGCTTTCGCAATATATATATACTTAGACAAAGAAAAGAGAATGAACAACGATAAAATACTTTCAAGTATTTC